TAGCGCCAGAGACGACAGAAAAGATGGGTGGGTGTGTGACTGCGCTGTAGACAGAGAGGAGAGAGGCAAGAAACCACAATGAGTGACGGGGAGTAAAGGAATCCGAGGCGGGCCTCATGATTCGTGAGAATCTACATAGTAGAGAGAGAAAATGGACGGCATGATTTGGCGTTGAGAGGAAAAGTGACTTTGGTACCTCTGTATGTATTCGCTGATCGGTACGTTACGTGGTGGTAGGGGGGACATGGTGAAGGTAATGTGGAGGAGACTTCACGGCAGACTAGAGCGAGGTAAGGTGAGGGCCGTGAGGTGAGGCGGAGGGCGGTTGGGCGGGCGGGTTCAGCGACGTCGCCAAAGGCGGAAAAGAACGTTTCCATTAACGCTCCCAGGGTGGATTCGGTACGTACTGATTGATGGAGGCTGCGATACCATGATAGGTACGTACCGTTGGAGGCTGCGGCGGATGGCAGATGGCGTGGGTGCGAGGACGGCAAGATGGATGGCAGCCCCAAGCCTCCAAGTCCCGTCCCGTCCAAAAAAAATGGAAGACACTCGACCCTCAAGGTACGTACATGGCCAGAGCTACAACCATGTCTCGCTTTCCAATATCGATTTCCAGCCATTCGCCATGGACAGGGTTTCCAGCAGCACCTAATCGGTATGATGAAGGGCAGACAGAGCCCAGAGGCAGATGGAGGCAGCTGGAGAGAGAGAGAGGCTCCAGTCAGGAAGAAAAGATGTTTACCTTAGCGACATGTGTCACAACCCGCTCATCCCACTGTTTCTTACCAGACCACCAGACGTAGCCGTCAACCCTTTGGCCCAGCGCCTGCAAAAATACAGTGTCGAGGAGGATGATGTACAGTCTCACCCACACGGAGGCGGCTGGAGTGATTGGATGGAGTCGAGTTACAAAGTGGCCCTCGTGAGCAGCCGCCCACCCCACTTTCATGGATTATGGGTCCAATGGCCTACTGGTGGTAGGGACCGGTCGGTCCAGTTCTTTCCCGTACAGAAAGTATCAGCTTCCTCCCCATCCTCTTGCCAGTTCTTGCCAGTCCAGTCCAGTCCACCTCAGTGCAAGTGCAAGTGTGCAAGTGCAATCCACCCAACCCTCCCACCTCCTTCCCACTGGCGCAACTTTGGAGCGACACCCCCCGGTCATTTCCGCTCCACACTCGTGCAGCTGCAGAAGGAGCTGTGGCCCCGTTCATTGGCTCCTGCTCCCGGCCGGGGCTGGAGGTTCAACTGCATCTCTCACCGCTTCTTTCGCGGGCTCGTCGTCGTTCCTCTTCACCCACGCATGCCCGCTTTTGGGGCCCCCGACCAAGTCTCTCGCCCTTCTCACCACCCGAATCTCTTCCTACCCACCTCATCTTCCCCCCAAAACCTTTGTCGCCGCTGCGAAGAAGGTCTTTTGCTCCCCTCATCCACTTCACCACCACCCCGACGAAAGAGCGGTGTCCTGGGGAAAAAGGCCATATCTCTGCTCAAACTCCCCTTTCTCGACTTACACCTATCCGTTGTTGGTTCTTTTTCCACGACTGATCTTACCCAACATGAACGTCAACTTCGATACGAGTGGAGGCGACGCCCTCTTGGACCTCTCCTCCTTCGACCAGCGGGACCGGTTTTCCTATGCCTCGCAAATCCCCTCATCCCAGAACAGCCCCCAGAGCGTCACCAACATGCCCGCTCAGAGGATCTGGCCCATTCCCTTGGATATGACCTCCAATGTCGCAGCCTCGAGTCCTCCCGAGGACCAACAAGCCCACTCGCCTTCACATAGCTCCTCACCTTTGAGCCAGCACTCGCATCATTCACCATATCAACAACCCGTCAACTCATTGACCGACTGGGCCTTGCAACAACATCAACATCAGCAACAACAGGCCCCTCATGGATTGCCCGATTACTCCCAATATGTCTCCGACGCCTACATGCCCGTAACATACAACCCATACGCCCCGGGCTTCCAGACAAATCCCATCGACTTTCTCCCCGCCACGACCCAGGCGCTGCAGGCCGCAAACTTTCAACTCGCATCCGCCTTCAACACGATGCCCCCCATGGACGACACTGTTCCGGCTATGAATTGGAGCTTGGGAATGGAGAGCTGGCACGATATTCAAGCCGCTGCCTCAGCGTTGCAAATCGACGGTCTGTCACATAGCATCGGCAGCAATTCGCCCACGGGTACCTTCCTCGAGGTCCTGTCCCTGCCGAGCACTGGCAACGGAGAGGGGTGGTCAATGGTCGTTGAGCAAGGTTCTGGAGCAGGATTCGACCACTTCCAACAGGCACAGCCCAATGCGGCAATCTTCAACCCCAGCCAGACACTTCACTTGAGAACCAACTCGGACTCGTCGGACGGCGCCAATTCATTTGAACTCGGCAGCTATGAGGAGATTGCTCCCTTCCCCATCTCTCCCTTCTCCCCCGAGTCCGATGGATACGTCGATGCCGGATCTCACCGCAATTGCTTCGGAGACAACCACAACCACGCTCATACTCACAGCCACGCTCATGCACACACTCACACTCACGCCCACGTTCACAACCACGACACAGTCAGCCCTGCAGCTGCTGTTGCTCCCATGCCCATCAAGACGACCACTCCGACCCGGCCAACTCCCGCCAGCGGCTCCGGCGCCACGTCTCCCCCAATTCTCACCACCGCCCGGAGAAACTCGGGCCAGAGGCGCAGCCCCGTCACCGGCAAGGCTACCAAGGCCGTCATTCGCCGCACTTCAACCGGCAAGAAGGATGGCACTGAGGTCAAGAAGGTTGGCCGCAGAAAGGGTCCTCTCCTGCCCGAGCAGCGCAAGCAGGCCAGTGAGATTAGAAAGCTTCGTGCCTGCCTGCGTTGCAAGTTCTTGAAGAAGACCTGTGACAAGGGTGAGCCTTGTGCTGGTTGCCAGCCGTCTCACGCCCGCCTGTGGCAGGTTCCTTGCACTCGTATTGACATCAAGGATATCGGCTACTTCATGAAGGACTGGAAGGCCGACTATGAGCGCCACCTTGGACGTGGTGTCTCGGTCTACAATGTCAAGGGCTTCGCTCAGAACGAGACCGTCATGTGGATCACTCACGGCTACGGCTTTGCCCTCCCCGTCTACGTCCGCGAGGTCTACGTGGCCGATGAGAGCTGCTTCCAGGTCGACTGGGTTGAGTCCTGCTTGACCGATCAGGAGCCCATCGACTTTGACATCCGCACCGAGAGACTCGATGTCGGTGCCAAGGGCGTTTCCGTTGAGGCTCTGTCCGACTATCTTGACAAGCACATTGATGGAGGCTTTGAGGATTTCATCGAGGATCACTTCGAGGGCACTCCCTTCATCACCGAGATCCTCAAGACTGCTCACCGCTACTACGTCAAGGAGCGTATGCCCGTCATCCGTAAGGCTCTGAAGCTCGTCCTTGCATACAACCTCACCCTGCACATCACCATGGTCGAGAGCCAAGGCGAGGATGTTCAGCTTGATGGCCAGATTGATGATGAGGACTCCAAGTACTACGGCAAGACCGTTGCCCCCGTCATGATCAACTTCCAGATCAAATGTGCCATGGCCGACATGTGGCGTGAGCTCCAGAAGGAGATTCTCGAGGAGCTGTCTGCCCTGTACTCCAGTGTCTACAGCGGCGAGCGTCTCAAGAACTGGCCCACCATCTTCATGCTGGCTTCCATTCTCCTCGCTGTTTGGGAGGAGATGCAGTTCGACTGCCACTACCGTGTTCCCGACCCGGCCGCCGTCAACAAGTTCTGCAATGACATGGAGACCACTCCTGTCGGTGTCATTGTTGGCCTCTTCCACGCCATCTCCCAGAAGCTCCCTGCCTTTATGGACTGGGACACCGCCAAGCACGGCCACCTCCTGAACAACAACGTCGCTGTCTGCGAGGCCATGACCGAAGTCCGTCAGCATGTCATCAAGCACGGTAAGTTCCACTCATTCTGGCCATTGTATCTGCAGACCACTAATAGTCCAAACAGAGGCATACTTGCGTACTCGCCCCGACGCCAGCTTTGACCGCAACGACTTTGACTGCTTGTCGAACAAGTTCTTGTCAAAGCTCGTTATCCGCGCCAACTGATTGTCCTCTACTGTGCTATTATTATTGCTGCCATTTATTTTTCCTTCTTGAGATTATGGTTTATTTTTGAAAAGCCCCTGGGTGGGCAAATTTTGTTGGCATCTCTTTTGTTATTTCGAGTCACAGCGACGGCGTTGAACGAGACACCACACACACACACCACAAGATCTCTACCCCACCTCTTCACTTCACTTCTTTTCGGCTGGTCACCTCCCCACCACGACGATTCATCGCGATGTGTTACGACCTTTTATCATGATTCAAATTACGAATGTATGACTCGAAGCTTAACGGGGTTGGTGGTCTGGAGTCGAGCGCAGGCGAGAAGGGCTGCGCTGCGGCAAAGAGAGACGCGACATGCGCCAGGGACGTTCATGGAGACGATCATGCCGGCACGACATGCAAATGACAGAGCATAGCAAGCATAGACGATTATGATATGCATTGGAATTTTTGGGCGTTGGAAGGGCCCTTTTGCAAAAAAAACAAAAAACCTTCACACAGAGAACTGGAGAGGCACAATTGGCCGATATCGGCATTTTACGCTGTTGTAGTTAACTTGGGTCAAAATCGATATATCGAGATTGTTTGTTTCGCGCCCTTCATACAATGAGTTACTATGCACTTTGTCCAGCCCGTGTCTGGACGTGAAATTTTCGTCCCAAGTGAGATGCATGTACGCCGGTACGAATATCGTGAGAGGTCAATGAGATAGGGAGGGAAATATGAGGGTCAGATGAGACAGAATGCAAGCCTCGGCGTGCAGCCCACAACGTGGTGAACCACACTAGATTAGAGCAACGTGATCTAGTCAGTCTGGGGAACGAACCTCTGCGGGCTTAAAGCAGGGTCAATGAGGGGAAGAAGGGCCTTATCGCAGCAAATGGGGATGGGGGACAACACCCTTAGGCCTCTGGTTCGATTTCGCCCAAACCAATGAGAAGAGTGGCTGGAGGGGCAAGGATGTTTATGGTGGTGGTGTTTGTGCTGCAGAAGAAAAGTGCATCCAACGTGGTCGGGTTGTAGTTGTACCATTGTCTCCCAGGTATTGACGGGGGCGGTGCTGGGCGCGGGGTGTGTAGGTGTGTCTCGCTCGTGTGGGCGAAACGTCGCCTTTTGGCCCCTTGGAAGGAAAGCGCGTGAACAGATGTTGCGATAAGGCCCGAGCGACGAGCGAGCAAAGACCGATGTCGCCATCGCTTCATTCCTCGGCTGACGAAAGCGTCGCTTCGGAAGAGGATACGGAGGTTCGCATTCTTCTGATCATGCCGAAGACAACTTTTTCAATGAGTTGGTTGTCTGTCTGGAGACGCCGAACTGGGATCCGTATGATTTTTCTCGTCTTTGGCTGAAGTATTGGTAAACTGTCTGTTTGTCTGTCTGCCTCGGGCGGTGGTTCGTATGTAAAATCAGGGTTCGGGAGAGGTTGGGGGTGCAGTGGCCTTTGGGATGACGTCGGCTCATTTCACCTGCCACCCCGGTCTCGCCGGTCCTTCTCCGCACTTTAGTGTTTGGCCGTGTTATATTGGGTGAGGATTGAGGAGTGGCCGGCGACATTCAACAACTCGCCGGCCAAGTCGAAAGGAAGGCATCGTGGCGACTTGGGATGAGGTTGAGAAAAGCTTTGTATGGGGGCGACGGGATTAGCAAGCGAGCGATTCGGACGGGGCAAAGATTAACCAAGAGGCTCTGGAGGTGGCGATTCTCATGTTCGCTGCCGACTGCATTGCTTGAGGCCTCTAAGTCTGAGTGCGTGTTGAGTGGACGAGGACTCAAGTTGGGGTTGTTCCCTGGCCGCTACGGTCTGCCTATCCGGGTGGCGGGTGGGGCGCTTGTTTGTCAGTGACAGTCACAGCCGGTTCGGACTTGTTTCTGACCCTTTGTGCCTCTTTGCTCTTTTTCGTCGGGGTGCTCTTTACGCTTGACTTTTGGCTGGCGTCCGTGGAATCCGTCAAGCGCAGGTGAGACACGACGAATTCCAGTCATAGGTGTCAAACCGAAGCCAGCCTTGCCAGCCTGCTTGATTTCGATATGGGAAGTATCGAGTCTATCGGCAGCTAGCATCGTGGGCATTCCTCAGGATGCGCTCGGCGAAGTCTTCAGCCCCAGTGTCTGTCGTCGGCGGTGACGATTGTTCCCGGTCGTGTTGGACGTGGTAAACAGAGGTGAAGTGAGGACGCCCGGGAAGAGGCGGAGTAGGTACAGGGATTGGCGGTGGGCCTCTTGCGACCCATCAGTTCATCAGTGACATTCTCGAGACGCTGCAGGAGACTAGCGGTATCGAGGTCGCGGGGGGTTTGCCTGTCCAAAATTCAGTCGTCTTGCAGCTTCACCAAAACTAAGGCAAAGATGTCAAGATCTTGTGGAAGCTGACACTCAGACGGGTATGCCAGATTAGATCTTACACCTCGCTGTCTTTTTGCGTGTGTTTTGACCTTGGGACTACTGCGCAGGGGCGGCATGAACGAGACCATCTGATCAAAGAAGCGGCGGCGACGAGTGGCCAACCTTTCCAGCGCAAGTCGCAACTGAGACATCAGGCACAGCACTCTGGGTTCCAGCCTTCCCAGGTTCGTGGTCAAGAAGCGTGCGATAAGGACCAAGGAAGAGGTTCTTCTACCTCTTTGAGAGTTGAGATTTGTGTGAGTCTGGAGGTAGATGTACGGATTTCCGAGAAAACGGCCCACCTGGTTCTGGAGGGTTCCGGCTTGCTCCTGCCTACTTTAGCGCCTTGTGGCACTTGCGCAGTTGCTGATGAATCATTCGCCATTCCCCCAGACAAGGCACTCAGAACTGAGAAAGAAGGCACTCAGTGCCACTAACTGCATAACCTGCCCCACTTTCCCACACCTGCGCCTCCAATCAGACCCCTCCTTCCCTGCCTTCCTTGCCTTCCGCGGCCAGTCAGTCACCAAGCACCCAGGAAGGCACCACCACCCAACTTGGCTCCAGGTCCTTCCTTCCTTCCCGCCTTCAGGCAGGCCGCATCTCTCTGACACCTTGGTTGCCTTTCGGTATTTAAGCCACTTCACCTCTTCATCCTTCTCCCCTCCTCCTTCTCCCCATCACATCCCCTACACAATACTTCCGCTCGACGAATCTCTCATCAGCGATCACTCGGTTACGAGCAACCACATTCAGTAATACCAAAGAGCAACACCACACATCAGAATTCAGCGAAGTCGCCATCATGCAGATCTTCGTCAAGACCCGTAAGTCATCCAGGCATCCAAGCGTCATTCCCATTAATAACTGACGTGTTTCCTCCCAGTCACCGGCAAGACCATCACTCTTGAGGTCGAGTCCTCCGATACCATCGATAACGTGAAGTCCAAGATTCAGGACAAGGAGGGCATTCCCCCCGATCAGCAGCGTCTCATTTTCGCTGGCAAGCAGCTCGAGGACGGCCGCACCCTCTCCGACTACAACATCCAGAAGGAGTCTACCCTCCACTTGGTTCTCCGCCTTCGTGGTGGTATGCAGATCTGTAAGTTGCTCTACATCCATGCTGCCCCCAGACATGTGGTTGCTAATCCATTCTGTAGTCGTCAAGACGCTCACTGGCAAGACCATCACCCTTGAGGTCGAGTCTTCTGATACTATCGACAATGTCAAGTCGAAGATTCAGGATAAGGAGGGCATTCCCCCTGACCAGCAGCGTTTGATCTTTGCTGGCAAGCAACTTGAGGATGGTCGTACCCTGTCCGACTACAACATCCAGAAGGAGTCCACTCTCCACTTGGTTCTTCGTCTTCGCGGTGGTATGCAGATTTTCGTCAAGACCCTTACTGGCAAGACGATCACGCTCGAGGTTGAATCTTCAGACACCATCGACAATGTCAAGTCGAAGATCCAAGATAAGGAGGGCATTCCTCCCGACCAGCAGCGCTTGATCTTCGCCGGAAAGCAGCTTGAGGATGGTCGCACCTTGTCGGATTACAACATTCAGAAGGAGTCCACCCTGCATCTCGTCCTGCGTTTGCGTGGTGGTATGCAGATCTTCGTCAAGACGCTGACTGGAAAGACGATTACGTTGGAAGTCGAGTCATCTGACACGATTGATAACGTGAAGTCCAAGATCCAGGATAAGGAGGGTATCCCTCCTGACCAGCAGCGTCTTATCTTCGCCGGAAAGCAGCTGGAAGATGGTCGCACCCTCAGCGACTACAACATTCAGAAGGAATCAACCCTTCATCTCGTCCTCCGTCTTCGTGGCGGTCAGTAAGCGACGGGTCAGCGATGGGGAAGTTGCCTTGTACGAGGCATGGCGTTAATGGATTACGATTATGGCGGGACAATGGTTCTGAACGATATCTTCACATATTCCTAGAACTTAGCTAGGCACTCATACGCTCATGAAAGCGTCAATACTAGACTCTATTGAAGTCTCAAACACTTTGCATTGCTGTACCGTGATATTTCTGTTTCATATCTTGTTGCGATGCGAATGTCACTGTCTGGAGGTTGACCCATCTATCGCTTATCAGTGACGTACCTGATGGAACGAGGTCCGTAACCGGTGGGGCTGTGGAGTGCACGCTCCTAAAGCTCCTCGAAACTCGCACCTAAATGATTGAAATCTTCTCCACAACATAATTATCCTGCCCGATTCCGTGAGTTGCGCCGCGACATGAACAGCCCATGGAAGTCCTGGAAACACTTGGAAACTCGCGTTCTTTTGCCTCCATAGTTTGGGGGGTCTTTTACACCAGCCACGCAGCATTTGAGTCTCTCAAAGTCAACCAGCATCGTCTCACGGCAGCCTGCGAGGCTGAGAAGGGCTATGCGGACCTTCTTCTACCACCTCAAGTTCGAGCTCTATCCCACTTCAAGCCCCGCACTCGCCGACACCAACGTCGTCAAAGGGAAACAGCAGGAAGAAGCCCTCAGTAAAGACGTGTGGCTTCCGCCGAAAGGCGCCAACATCTTCGCTGAACTTCCCGCGCATTCCAGGAAAAGTTCGAAGAGGCCGAGTACGAGCTTCCGACCGCAGACTTCACCACTACAACCCTTCGAACCACCCAACCCCGCCGATACCTATCGATCGAGCACACACCGAGCGCCAGAAACTACTTCGAACCCGAACCTCATCGACTGCGGACCTTCCAGAGCTCCGGCCAAGGAAGATAGTGGCAGTAACATCGAGAGGATAACCGAGAGGCAGTGGAGAGCTCGTACGCAGAGCTTCCCTCCCCCGCCTTCTTCGGCAGCGATCCGACCAGAGACGGCAGTCAAGGACTGGCGCTTTGGTCAAGTCAGCATCGAGAGCATCGACATCGAGTCAGAAAGCGACGAGAATACAGATCAAATGGCGGCTGAGGCAACAAGCTCTGGGGCAGACCTTGGCGTTGGTCCAACATTTGGTGGCGCTGGAATCTCCACGAAGGCAAAATATGTCCCTCTCGACACAAAGAGTACGGAAGTAGGCTGGGGAGTAGTACATTTTTACCGCGACGAGGAGGGAACACCTTCCTTGGGACTGCCGTCTTCAGAGGGAGACGACGTCGAGGCAGAGGACTGCACGACGCTTTGCATACCTGCAGTTCCAAGTTACCTGAGCCCGGGCGACTTCATCGGCTATGTCGGGGAGAAATGGAGGAATGACATCAGTCACTGGCGAATGGTCATGACTGCTAGGATGAACCGGTATTTAGTGCTCCTCAAGTTTGGAAACAGCGAGAAGGCAAGGGCGTGGCAGAGGGAGTTTGACGGAAAGGTCTTCAACAGTATGGAGGTGAGTAGTCAACTGCAAGCCCTGACGCCGCCGTGCAACTGACTCTTCTGCAGGCGCAAGTTTGCCATGTTGTCTTCGTTAAATCCATCACCTTTGAGACGCCGACTCGAGAAAACAGGACATTTCCCGACCTTAATCACGACCCCTTCACGCCTTCCTCTTCTTCCGTCGTCGCCTCCAGCAGTCTCAGGCCTTTCCCTCCGCCGACCCCGAATCTTATCGAACTACCTACTTGCCCCGTGTGCCTCGAGCGCATGGACGATACGACAGGTCTAATGACGATTCCTTGCCAGCACGTCTTTCACTGTACCTGCCTGCAAAATTGGAAAGGCTCAGGATGTCCGGTCTGCCGACACACGAATCCCGAAACCACATACGATCCATCAAACCCATATACACAACCATTTGGCTCTTCCGTGTCGAATCTGTGCAGCGTTTGCGATTCCACCGATGATCTATGGATCTGCCTGATCTGCGGAAATGTCGGCTGTGGTCGATATAAGGGCGGCCATGCTAAGGACCACTGGAAAGAGACGGCGCATAGCTTCTCTCTGGAGCTAGAGACACAGCATGTATGGGATTACGCTGGGGATACGTGGGTACATCGTTTGATCCGTGATAAGGGCGACGGTAAGGTCGTGGAGCTCCCAGGCAGCAACGGACATCACCACGGGCCGGAAGGCGGTTACGAAGATACTGTTCCCCGTGCAAAGCTGGACAATATTGGCTTGGAATACACTCATCTCCTGACCAGTCAGCTCGAGTCACAGCGAGTCTACTTTGAGGAGATGATCAGCAAAGTGGCAGACAAGGCCTCAAAAGCAGCAGCGATAGCCGAGTCTGCATCGGCACAAGCTACCACAGCTCTAGAAGAGAATGCCACCCTCAAGACGGAGCTGACACGTCTCCAAACGCAAGTCATTCCACAACTCGAGCGGGACGCAGAGCGCGACCGAGCAAAGGCCACCAAGGCCCAGGAACTCGCCCGCAACATGGGCAAAGCCCTGCAGGAGGAGAAGCAAGTGACGCAGGGGCTCATGAAGCGCGTGGAGCACAACAAAGCGGAGCTCGAAGCCCTGAAGAAGAGCAAGGCGTCTTACAAGGAGCAGGTGGCGGAGCTGCAGGAGATGAACAGAGATTTGTCCATGTTTATATCGGGACAAGAAAAGTTGCAGCAGATGGAGAAGGCGGGCGAGATCGAGGCTGGTGAAATCGCGGAAGGGAGCGCCAGCGTTCCTGAGAAGAAGGGGAAGCGGAGGGCGAAGAAGTAAAGCCTGCTTAATGGTGTTTCTTGGATTTGGCGTTCACAGGAGGGCGGCGGTTTGGCATCTCACGGTGCATGGATACAGTGATACCTATCTAGTACTAAAGCGGGCAGTTTTTACATTGTTTTCCCGTTCTTCACGATGAGTGTGTTGTTGCTTTCGTTCCCATTGATCCAGGCCTGTGATGTCAGGTCATACTTGCACGTCTCTCAGGCATCCAGGAATGACGTCTTGCTTTCGTATCGTCAAGTACAAGATGGCGCCTAGCATTCGAGACTTTGCAGTCGGATGATTAATCTGCCCGCTCTTTTTCGTCAGTCAAGGCTGTTTCTACATAGTTCAAGCAGCGAATTTTGGACTACGGTATGTACGGGATGAATTACTAAAGCTGAGTCGATGGCTTGTCTGTCCATCTGTATCCGGGCCTCACCAACAAGACTCTGCAGGTCAAACTCAACGGCTTGTTGATATCTTGTTAGGTGTAAATTGAGATCAAAGTCTATGTTCTCACGATGAAGGAAGACTGTGGTATGTGTAGCAAGAGCCAGGGGCTCGATTCATTTGACCATTGGGCCAGAGGTCGAGTAAATAGACATGTGAAACCATTGAACAGTGGCGATCCCAATGGATTTTGAACGGCGGCCTACAGCTCACTACAACGCAAATAAAGATGAGCTCCATTGCGTGAGATTCTGACCCAGAAATAATGTGACGACTAACAGTAGGATTGGAATTAGGTTCTTCCTTGGATGGCTGAAATTCTGATCTAGTTTGTTATACATACTCAGATAAGTATTATGTACTGCGGTTTCCATTGCCATACTGAAACATAATGACTATGTAGAGATATTACACAATACTATGTAATATCTTGAGATTCTTACATGGGAGGGGGGACAACCGATTCAAACCAAAAAGTTGGAGGCTTCCTGAGGCCCCACTAATCCAACGGCCCCGTCCCCGCAACGGAGAGCTCTGACCACACCCGGCAACTCCACCGCCCGCAAATCCCTACCCCACCATGGGAAACCCCTCGATGGTCACACTGGAAGGGACGCTTCTTCGCGACAAGAAGCTCCAAAGCTCCAACATCAATCATCACCACCCGCAGTCAAACCACCACCACACAATGGCAGCAACGACAGCCTCCCCATTCCCCTTCCCCAGGGAATACTCCTTCCCCCCCTTCTTCACCCGCCAAACAAACCTAACAACCCACCACGCCCAACTCGTCAAATGGTCCGACCTAATCCTCTCCTACTGCCGCCACCACCGCCTCTTCAAGCTCTCCCTCGGCGCCGCCATCCCCTCCGCCTCCTCCTCCGCCCTCCCGCACGCCCTCCCGAACCACAACGAGTCGTCTCTCCTAAACGAACCGACAACCTTCTCCCCCGCGACCGCAACATCCTCCGCCGCCGGCGCGCCAGAGGAGCTCTTCCACAACAAGACGCTCAACAAGCGCCTCAGCCTGGCCGACGCGCGCGAAGTCCTCGAGTTCATGCGCAAGAACGGCCGCGCAGAACCTTTACCGGCCAGCACCGACGTCTTTTGGGTCTACTGGCGCACGCCCGACGAGTGGGCCGCCGCGATCGAGGGGTGGATCGACGAGACGGCGCAAAAGGGCGTCGTGCTGACGCTGTATGAGCTTACAGAGGGCGAGAGTACCAGGGGCACAGGTGGGCACAAACAACTTCTCTTCTCTCTCGCAATGTGATGTTTGGACCCGTGAGCTAAGAGCGATTCCATGTGCGTACAGACTTCCACGGCCTCGATCCAGATCTTCTGTCCAAAGCGCTACAAATCCTGGTAAAGCGCGGCAAGGCCCAGATCTTTGGACAAGAGGACTCGCAGGGTGTAAAGTTCTTTTGATCTCGCTCTCTCTTCTACCTCTTCATGATGATATAACACGACGAGACATTGGCCTCATTCTTTTGCGAATCTCCAACTAGACATACCACGTTGACACATTATTCCTCGAGCCGGGTCGTAAACAAACACCAAGTCCCAAGGTCTTCACCCCGAAAGCAGCACAACTCCATGCCATCCCATGTATACATGTACAATCCAAAGTTACCAACTACCTTTAGCCATCAAGCTGAGCGAAACGAACATCACAGGCTCTTTTGGAAAAAGTTCTTGGCGAGGTACTTCTCGTCAAAGGAGACTTGCTGCTTCATGGCGACATCCAACAGCCAGTCCGCTGCGACGATGCGTGGCTCCATATGGCCCTTGCGCGCCATCTCCTCAAACTTGGGCCAGAGGGACTGCTCGTCGGCACTATTGGAGCTGAGAAGATAGACAGGCTCTGGCGGCGCGCCTCCGTCCTCCTCTTCCGTCGTCGGCTTGATGGTCGTGCCGCTGCGCGCGCGATACAGCTTGAACATGGCTCCATTGGCCTCAGCGATAGCTTTGTAGCTTTCGGGTCCGTTGCAGATGTTGTTAGTGCAGTACACGGGGACTGTCCACAACAGCTTCCCGAGATTCGCTCTCGCACGCGAGACTGCCGTCTCGAGCTTGACGCCAAACTTGGCTTCGTTTTCCTCGTCCTTTAGGAGGAAGTCGTCGGGGTCAGGAACCTCGCCTCTCTCGAGAGCCTCGTCGATGAAGTTGGACGATAGGACGGTAGGCCCTTTGGCCAGGGTTTTGAGGAACTTGACAGTCCGTACCATGTGGGGAGCGGCGAGATAGTCGCACGGCTTGTCGTCTTGTACTATCATGATTCCCATGTCGCGGAGTTTTCTCTGCGAACTGTTAGCCCGGCAGAAAGAAAGGAATTCAAAAGACTTACCCTCTCTGTATCCTCCTTGGACTTGGCATTGACCCATCTCGTGAAGCCCGTCAGCACGATCCTCATCTCCACATCTGGACGTAATGATTTCCGCTTCTTGGAAGGCCTTGAATCTTCGTCCTCCTCATCTACTTCCATTGCCTGGGCTGGGCTTGATGTGCGACCCCTTTCTCTGTCGATTTGGTCTGCAGCACGCTTACCACCCCATGGGCCCTGCTTATCCTTGCTGCGCTTCTTCTCCTTCTCGTACAGCGCAATATCGGGGGCGATGCGCTGTAGGTTGGTCAAAGCCTTGCTTTTGGCGCTTCGGCCTCCAGTCGACATTTCCGAGGGGGTATCATTCTCCTTTCCGCGGCCGCCTTTCTTAGGGCGTATAGGCGTCATGAAGCTGTCGTCGATAGCCTCTTCACTCTTGTCCTCTTGTCTGCCAATCACAACCCCTTCGGCAGGCCCATGCAAGTACGAGTTCTCCTGAGCAGCTTCAAGGATCTTGCGCTTCCGTGTCGCTTGGGGCGACAAGCCCTCTCCACCACCCGGGTAGTACGTTTCTCGCAAGCAATACTCATCAAAGAAGGTCTGCCCGATTACCTCGCCCAAGTTCGTGCGAACGGGGAAATGAGAGTATTTGGGGACAGTAACCCTCTGCATCTCACACTTGGCGTAACTCTCTTCGATCCACAGGTGGTTGACCGTCTCGATGTTCCAATCCTTGGCCGCCTCATATTTCTCACTGCTGCTCCTTGCTGTGATGAGGTGTGTATTCTCGGCCTTCATCGTCTTGGTGTATGTGGCGCCGGTCGCCTTGATCAGATTTTCGAGGTATATGCGAGCGTCACCGCCGTAGTTGGAGAGACAGATCTTGAGACCTTCGAATCCGGGGATGCCATTTCTGGGAACCGGGTAGTGAAGTAGACGGCGGAGCGGAGACGTCCATTCATTATGCGTTATGAGGTGATAAAGCCACGAGAGATTGCCAATGTCCTTCCCTGACTGAGCAGCCTTGATGTACTGTTCCCCGTCACGATACTGGCAAATAAAGTAGTCGCAATCGTCAACATTGTCGACCACCTTGCCACCGCCATTGTTGATGAGTTGCTTCACAGCTTCCAGTGATCGTGGAGTAATGCTGAGATCCCATGAAAGCATGACATCCTTGTCCCGAAATATCGTGGCTGGTTTTCTCGGGCCATCACTGAGATGGTTGGGGTTTGTCGAGGTCGCCCCGTTGAGCTGGTCGTATGTGGGAGCTTGCACTTCGCCTTGGTTCTCATCGTGGCTAAGAATTTCGGGATTGGGGAGCAGATAGGGGCCTTCGGGTATACGTTTGCCAAGCTTGAAGCAATCTTCGAACCTAGTGTATGTGTAAGAGGTGGCTCGAAGCATAAGGACTTTACAGACTTACCAGTGGGGCAATACAATCTTGCAATTGAGACCCTTCTCATTGGCGATGACACATTTAGGATCTTCCGTAGTCAGAGCGCAGATATGAGTGGTCTGTCGTGTCACATCGGCGCCTTCCATGCCGCCCATAGCCAGCGTAGCACCAATGATGGTCTCCTTGTCGATTTCAGGCAGACCAGCAGTTGTGAGGATGACCTTGGAAAAGAACATGCGCGGATCGGGAGAGTATGGCCGGACCTGTGCCTGCTTGTTCTTCTTGACTGATGCCTTAATCCAGTCGGTATTGACGACTGGGATCATAAAGGCCTGGGTCTCGGTGAACTGGGGAAAGTCGATGGTGTTGGAGATGATGTGAGAAACCGCTTCGAGTCTGAGGGAGCCATCGCGTCTTGGGTCGAGGACCGTGCCGCCACGACCTTCAACAATGCCGGCATACTCGCTGATTTCTTTGGGAGCTAGGTGGGCACTCGGCACAAAGGCAAAGGTACATTCTGCGAACAAGCCCTTTGCCTGTTCAGCCATGGTGGGCAATCGGGTGAGGCATGCAATTGAGAAGAGCTAAAGAGCTGGTGGGCGTCGGAGTCGATGTCAGGGCATACGCAGGACGATATCTTGAGGTTTGCTGTCGGAGTGTTGTTTGCGCAGAAAGACCGGTGTGGGTGTAGCCTGCAGGCAATTACGAAAGGTGAAGGCGATTTTGACGCGAAATTGTTAGCGACGCGGCCGGGTTGGACGACGCGAGGTGAGCTCGCCGTCACGTGTAGCTTCCTGGCAAGGTACATTTGCTTGGGTGGTCCCGGTGGGGTTGAGGAAGTACCGGTACTTTATCCATTAAAAGCGCGATAGGAACGCGTTCAAGGGAAGCATCCGCCAACCAGCTGGCCATTTGCCGCAAGCCGCCCATCAATGTGTAGTGACATTCTTCGGTGACATTCTTACCCCAAAACAAACTACAACCTTAATGCGACCACGATGACATTTGACGCCATGGACGATATTTCTGCAGCGAAGTCTGTTTACCAATCATGGACTTTCGAAGTAATTGTTCAACACTCAATTGCTGCGCTCACCACCTCATGATCCCTGTTTCCATCCCACTCAGGGATGGAACCCGATTTCACCGAAATTCTCCGTTGCTATAGATACTTCCAACTTGAATGTACAACTCGAGGCCTTACACCCTCTTCATTGCAAATGGCGCCTATAGACTCGACTTGATCAAATCGGCAGCCCGCTCGGCGATGCCATAAACGGTTGCCTGAGGGTTGGCACGCACTGTAATGGGCACAATGGAAGCATCAGCCACCCGCAAGCCACGGATTCCATGCACCCGGAGCTTCTCATCTACCACTCCACCAAGCTCCCTAGGCATCATGGAGCAAGTACCCGTGAAGTGATGAGCGCCAACTGCTGTCTTACGCACAAACTCTTTGGCTTCCTCGAGGTCTGTCAAGGCGTTGACAGGGTTGCGCTTTCCGCTCGGCTTCAGTTGACTTCGGAGCGGCTCGCTTGCGGCGATCTTCTCCAGGAGCTGGACATGTCTGGCCAGAACCTCGACGTCGAATGGATGCGATAGGTACGCGGGGTCGATGGCGACCGCTGGCGATTCAAGGGACGCAGAAGTGATATGACTTGACCCTCGCGATAGGGGATGAGCGAGGAGCAGCGCTATTGTGAAGTACTTTTCCTCGCCAGGCGGTGGTGCTGCCATAGTTCCGTCTCCGCTGAACAATGCGAATCCCGGCAACGACAGATAGTAGCCCGACGGTTCCGAAGACGACGTCAGGACGGATCGCACGTATGCCTCGAGGGCCTTTGTGAACTCTGGCGTCGCGCTTGTGTTGGGGCCGCTCAACTTGTCAAGAAGTTGAGTGATATCCTTGCCAGCGGGCAGAGGAAGCTGTGCAGTCGCTACAGTGCCGCTTCTCGAGAACGGTCCAGTGCCCTTACCATATGCCTCCATCGCAGCTCCGACGGCAGCCGGTTCCTGACGAATAATGCCATCCATGGTGTCAAGCTCTGGAAGGGCCTCAAAGCTTGCGCCGACCATGACGTGGTTCTGCAGGTTTTCGCCGACGTGCGGGTTGTCGAGAACGATCTCGATGCCGAGTTTACGAAGAAGCTCCCCATTTCCAACACCGGAAAGCTCAAGAATCCGTGGCGAGTTGAGGGTGCCAGCAGTTAACACGACCTCCTTCTGTGCTGTTGCTGTTGTCGTCTCCCCATCCTTGGTGTATTGAACGCCATCGGCAACAATTTCGCCAGCCTCTGATCTGAAGACAATCTTCTCTACCAACGCTCCGGTCACAACCGTCAAGTTGGATCTAGACTTTGCCGACTGTAGATACGCGCTGCCGGCGTAACTCCTCTGCTTTGTCTCCGGGTCTATAGTGTCCGGTGTGAGACTGCTGCCGACTCCCTGCCCACTTAAGGGGTCACAAGAATCCGGGAAGCCTAGACTACGGATCGTATCTTGCCAGATTTTGGGCCAGAAAGACTCGACGTTGTCCGGCAGAGACAACTTCAGTGGCCCTGTGCCCTCACCAGAAGCGATGGAGTAGGCCTTCTTGGAGGCTTCGTTGAACGTAGGCCAGTCCCAGCTGGGGTTGCCCAAGCTGGCCCACGCCTCAACGTTGGACCGGGTGGTGATGGTAAAGGAGAGGCCATTGAGTGCACCTGAGCCGCCAAGGAGACGACCTTGAGGGACAGCAATCTCACGACCACCTAGGCCATCCTGTAAGCGATTCTCTATCAGTAAACCGGACTCCTAAAAAGCAGCTGCTGGTCTGAGAAACACTTACTTGGGGCACCGTTCGGAACTGCCAGTCAGACGGCGTCTTGACAAGACTGGGACCCAGTGCGGGAATATTGACTCGAGGGTCTGCCGTTTGGTCTTCGCCCGCTTCCAGCACTAGAACCTGGACATCTGGAATCTCGGACAGACGAGTGGCAACTACTAAGCCGGCGACGCCGCCACCCACGATGATAAAGTCGTATTTTACAGCCATTTTGAGAGACGGTATGATGAGTAATGCGATACGAGTGATTCTGCAAAAGCAAAAGACTTCGTTGGAACTTCGGTCACTGTTAAATCATGACAGGTTTCCGAGCCCGAGACGTCTGAGATTGTGTAGGATTGCGGCAAAGCATTAGTCGCCGCAGCGCCGAGCGCTCATCCGGCATCTCCCCCGCGGGCGGCCGTATTGCACCAACATACGACACTGAGCCGGCCAACCGTTTCCGGTACCGTTCAAGCAGGTTCCACTGCAGGGTTGCATCCTTACGACTTTGTTTCTGCATCAGGGGTATGACAGTTTGGGACGCAGACCCTCTCACTTCCCTGGACCCCCGGTCAACGACCGTCAAGGGACAACCCAGTCGCTATCCGGATATCAAGGTTATCGGGATGACCCATGATCACCGCGGCGCGATATCCATCTATGTACCTTTGATCAACGAGTACGGCCTCTAGGATAGAATGGAAGACGTTACGATGCGTGCTGGATTACATCCCCGTTATTGGACACTAGTCAGTTCCTGTGGCATGCTGTTACCCCTCAGGTAACTCACGACAGATTGTCGAGGGATGGGCTGGACCCAGCCGCGGATGGCACTAGACATCATGTCAGGTTTCGATGACTGCTCAACTGGCGGATGTTTATCGATTCCGGGCTCAGGACGAGTTATCGGCAGTAGACTTCAAGAGAAGAGCGCCTCGAGCTTGATGGAAGTAACCAAGTGCAACACACAAACTTCATCATGAGTGTTCTTCTCGATTCAAGTTACCAGGCCGTCCTGGTCTATGTCCTCGGACTCTTTTGTGGCGTCGCCGTTCACTTCGGCATTTTTATTCACGGAGAATGGCATGTACAGGCTCCTCAGATTGCTCTGGGTCACTTCTGGCTGTTCTCTTGTTTCGCGGCTCTCAGCCGTTACTACAAGGGCTCAGTTGTTGGCGATCTATGTCACTCTCTCTTGATACTATCCGCTGGTTACCTGCCTGGGCTTTTTACCAGCATCATCCTCTACAGATCCTACTTCCATCGTTTGTCAACTGCTGGCTTCAAAGGCCCATGGTATGCCCGAGTCACCAAGCTGTGGCACGTCTGGGCCTGCAGAGGCTGCAAAAATCATCTGCTCTTGGAGGATTTACATGAGCAGTATGGAGACTTCGTGAGGACAGGTAAGTAGCCATCCGAAACAAACTTGTCTGAACTCTCTATTGATAAGTTAGCCAGGGCCCAGTGAAATCACTGTTTTCCACCCAGGAGTCTTCATGGCTGTAGATGGTCCCCGGTCTGAATGCATCAAGTCTGAGTGGTACGACATTCTGCACCCCGATCGTGCGCTTGTGACAACACGCATCAAGCCCATTCATGCTGCCAGACGGCGTGAATGGAACCGTGGATTCTCGGCACAAGGTATTTACCCCATAGATCTTCGGAATCATGAGCCTATCTCTAACGAGCCGTACCGCGCAACAGCCCTTGTTCAACACGAGTCAAAGATTCTCAAGTATATTGAGCAGCTGGACGTCTGCATCGAGGCGGATGCCAAAGCGCACGTTGCTTCGGAAGTGCGGAACCTGTTCTTTTGGTTCGGGTTTGATGTCATGGGAGACTTTGTCTTTAGCAAGTCGTTTGATATGCTGCACCAGCAGCAGTGGCACCACATTATCGTGCGGCTGCAGCGTGCTCTCTCGCTGCTCGGACCGTTCAGCCCTGCTCCATGGCTCATCCAGGTCGGCTTCAAGCTGGGACCGCGAATCAGCGTTCTCAAGGACTGGTTCGACATGGTCGCCTGGTGTGAGCAACAGATGCGTGTTAGACTTGATGAAGGAACTCCTAAGCCAGCCATTCCTGATCTCGCCTACTACTTGATGGAGCTGAACGACGGCCAGACTGAGCTCAAGGATCGTTTGCCATGGCTTTATGGCGACAGCTTGCTCGCAATTGTTGCTGGAAGGCAAGTCGATTTCTCCAATCTCGTGGGCGCTCATTTATTGACAAACATACAGCGAGCCGACGGCTGCTGCCTTGATTGGTATCTTCTGCGAGTTGGCTAAGCACCCTGAGCACGCCGAGAAGGTCTATGAAGAATTGAGAGACGTCGATGCTACCAACCTCAAGACTCTCACGAGCCTCCCGCACCTCAATGCTGTCATCAACGAAGGCCTCCGCTTGTACCCAGCCCTTCTCACCGGCGGGGCCAGGAAGACGACGGAGAACGGGGCCACGATCGGTGGGACTTTCATCCCGCCCGACACGACAATCATTGCCCCGCGTCACGTTATATCCCGAAGTAAGTAAATCCATAGAGGGTTGCTTTCGTCAGTTCTCAGCTCACCCATTATCTACAGGGGAGGACTGCTTCGAGCGCGCCAACGAGTTCATCCCTGAGCGATGGAGTACGCGGCCAGAGATGATCCGCAATGTTGCAGCTTTTGCGCCATTTGGAACAGGTATGGCGATCTTTGTCTTTTGTCTGCTATCTGATAGCTTTTGGTCGACTAATCCGTCTCCTGCAGGTCACCACAGCTGTCTTGGCCGTTTCCTGGCCACCGACACTATGAGATTTGTAGTTGCCAGACTTGTGAAGAAGTACCGTTTCCGCCTCGCACCGGGAGAGACGGGCAACCGCGTCTTTGACGACGTGAGGGATCAGTTCACCTCTAATCCGGGTCCCCTGTCGCTGTGTTTCGAGTTGAGGTGATTATACTATGTTTAGACAAATTAAGTATGTAGTCACTTAGAGTTTAGCCAAGGTAACCAAGAAGCAAATCGTATCATTTTTCATCTATTTCTACCCAGTGTTCAACAAATGTATCTCCAATGCCGAGGCCCTATTATTCATACGTAAGAACATTGATATATTGGACTATCTCTGGGCGAACATGGTGAGCTACCCATGAGGTTGCTATCGTCTATTCCGGAGCTATCTCAAGCAAGGCTAGTGTATGGCCATCCATTGATACCGCTGGTCAGCAGCTGACCAGATTGGATCGCGCCGGTACCCTTTTTGAGCTCTTCGACGTCCCAGTTGGCCCAAACAGTACGACCATTGAGGAACGCCGCCTCGGGACTTGCTAGCCACACCGTGAAGTGGGCAGGGAGTTGGACTGCAAGCCAGCGCGCGGGATGTCAGCACCTTGTTCGGCCCGCTAGAGCTGCAACGGGAAGGAGAAGCAGGGTTGTTATGAAGGGGGATGGAGAGGAAGCGAGTGGAGGGGAGTGTCGGGACGGAGAGGGAAATCTGGGCAGATGGGTGGACAGGGGAGGGAAGGGTCGTAGCCTAGTATGAAAAAGACAATGGAACTGCACCTTTATCCATGGGGAGAGCTTCGGCCTTGGCGCCACTCTTGGTGAAGATGTCGGTCTCGACCATGCCCGGGTGAAGGGTTACCGCGAAGATGTTCGGGTTTTCCGCCGCTAGGAACTCGATGATTTTCGTTTGAGCTAGCTTGGACGCCATGTAGGCGGACAGACCAGGCAAGGCGACTGCCGGCAACGCCGTTGTGCCGGTAGTAAGTGCGACGATGGACGCATGCGAAGGGTTCGCCGTGGGGAGGAACACCTTGCTGACGAGGTATGTTCCTTTGGTGTTTGTCTGTCAGGTCGGTGTAAGTGCTCGGGCCCTCTCATTCACTTTCACTCCCTGTCTCTCTATCTCTTTCTCGCTACCGACTTGTGTGGAGAGAGAGAGACAGAAAATTATCGTCGTTAAGGGTAGTCTGATTTACCTCAAAACTCTGCCACCAGTCATCGGTAGCCGACCCTGCGACGGGCGACGGGCTGGACACAAAACCAGAGGCCAAAACAAGAATATCCCACTTGCCGATCGCGGCTGCCACCTTGATCAACGTCTGTTCGTCAGTAATGTCCACGGCGTGAACATCACTCTGCACAGACGACGGCAAGGAGGCGGCCGTCTCGGCTATGGCGGCCTCTGTGCGGCCCAGGAGACTGACTCGAGCGGCCCCGGCAGCAGCAAAGGCCAGGGCGGTCTCTCGGCCGATTCCACTACCCTATCAAGAGAAGGACACAGCGTCAACAGAGAGGTTCCTAGGTAAGTAAGGTACCCGTACGGATATATTGCGGACACAGAGCTGGCGCGATATAGAGTTGTGACCGGGGAGGGCCAAAAGCTCCGATCTTTTTGGATCATGGCCAGGCATATTCGGAGGCGAGAGGTCATCACAGAGGGGCCGTGGACGGGGGGCTGGGCGAGGGTCGATATTCACAACCAGGGGAAAGGGAGAGAAAATTGGATATCGTAGAACTTACCGCGCCTGCCACGATGATCGTCTTCCCCGCCGCGCTGAGCTCCGGGCGGGAGGGCGAGATAGCCTCATAGGTGTCGTTGCGCCATGTCGGCGTGACGGAGGGCAGAGGGGGTTGCATCTTGACTCCTTTGAACGATGTTGGATTAGGATACCGAGAAGAAGGAGAAACGGTCGAGCCGAGAACGGGAGTATGTAGCGTCAGCCTTGGAAGTGGCGAGATACAAGATTTCAGCGAAGCCAGAGAGCGATGCTGGATGTATGGATAGATTGAATGAAGCGTGGGGTAGGTAACGGGAATGCCAGAAACAGTCTCGAGCTATCGCGAGCTAGGCCCTGTCTTTTTATTCCCCCCTCTCTCCCTCGTTGAGCTGAGCTAAGACTCAAAAGTTCGGGATTTTGTTTACAAACTCCGTGATATGCAGCGTTGCGGCGCAGCTCGCACCGTTGAAGACGCCATGGCTCTGACTAACCGGTTGGTTGGTTGGACGGCGATGTTGCCTGCTCATCTTCTCATGAAGGATGCAGATAGCTGACCGGTAGACAAGCCACTCAGTAAGAACGAGCATTCCCCACCGGCAACTCGGGGACTTTGGTGAAACCTGAGATTGAGCAACAAACTGACACCTGTGCCTTGCATAATTACCGGAAGCGGGATAAACGTAAGCCTCGTTGCAACATCACCATGGCCGTCAAGGTAAGGCAACGTATGCACTCTCTCCCCCCTAGTAGAAGGTGCAGACTGCCAGACAACCCCCGTGGTGGGAAGCATTGCATCCAAACGGGTTAACAAATGCGCGGCGCAGCGGTGGGTGGCAGGTGCTGCTTTGCTGAAGACAGTCTTTGTCTTTCACATGGTTGCTTTTATGGTTTCTGTGGGACTCGGTCTGCTATGTATGGCCCGTTGACAAGGGTCTCTGAAAGTTTGATATATCAACTTGCAGAAACTCCACTTTGAAACTCCCCCCACACCTCGAGACTCTTGAATAGACTGGGGAACGATTGAACCCCTGCAATGAAAATGGTAGAGCGGGGAGGCCAAGTCTTCTCAGAGTCCCATCATACCATGGGGAGGGGGGACCCTCGTTAGACCGGACAAGACTTTGGGACTGGTAAGTTGTAACTTGGCAAACCCTTGAGGGTTAATGAGGCTGTGGAGTTTCTCTATCACGTACATGACGAGTTCCCGATCACATCTGAGAAGAGGACAGTCATGTGGGAAGAGCATGGTTCCCTATCGATATTACCCACACGTGCAGCAACACCAGGCGGGTGGTTGGTCCTAAAAGACGACGACTGCCACGAACCATTGTCTATTACTATTCAACTATCGCTGCTTGCAAGCCTGCACAGTGACCAGAAAGTGGTAAGTGTTAGAGTGTGAGTGGGGAGGAACGGGATGAAAGAATGCAGTGTCATGCAAGCGCGGAAGTTCAGAACACTCCTACTGAATCATGTCATCCCATCTTGTCTCCCTTCGATCAGATGAGCAGAAGCCTCGCCAGGCAGGCTTACCTACTGGGTTACGTGCAGGAGGAGGAGACGAAGAGGAAGGAAAACATGGTTCGGCAAAGTAGTGCAAAGTACATTCTGTCATACTTGCATGGCCATCTCTCACTCTCATTCTCAAACTAGTATCAAAGTGGCCGGCAGACACACCAATAAGCTGGGAACTACCGCAAAGTAGGGTGACATCGACTTGTGTCTCATCGTCTAGCTCACCCTTTCGTCCACTTCTTTTTTGGGGATTCCTGGCCGTGATTGATAGACGCGGGAACCACGTTTCGTCTTTGTGGGATGAGAGTAAAAGAGAGTGTGTGTGAGAGGAAGGAGAGGCAAAGCAGGGTGGCGACATGGCAGCCGGCGGCTTCTCGATGCGATGAGCGTCGTTCCCGCACCCCCCATAAGAGATGAAGGCATCCCCCGCGCGTGCTGTGCCGCGAGGGCGGATGTCTATCGGGCTGGTATCCGGAAACTCTCTCTCATTGCTTGTTGGCATTTGAAGCTAAGGCAGTAAACCAAACTGACTGGGCCCAAGCGCATTACACACTTTGAAGAGAAGAAACACATTTCGCCCATTATGCCTGGTGCCGGCTCCAGAGGCATTAGCCTCTTAGTTTGGATTGTTGTCTTCACCGTTGTCGATGCTTCGTTTTTATGTCTGCGAGCTTGGTCAGCGAGGGTGATGAGGAGATCATTCTATTGGGATGACGGGATGATCATCTTCGCCTTTGTAAGTCCATCACTCCTACCTTCTTTGCTACAGGACTGACCATGGCAGGCCAACATTGTTGCGCTAGAGGGTGTTGTCATTTGGGCCATTTACAATGGCTTGGGCAAACACACCAATGAGTTGACTCTAGATGAGTATGCTGTTCAGTTCAAGGCAAGTTAGACATCTCATTCCATCTACTTGAACCATCTCTAACACTTGCTCTCTTACAGCTCATCCTCGCCAGTGGTGTTACATGGCTTCTGGGAACCGTCTTCATCAAGATGGCCATCTTGTGGCTGTACACTAGAATCTTTTCCACGGCAAAGTTCAAGCGCTGGTCGCATATTCTCATGGGCGTGACGGGAGCCTACGGTGTCGCGTTCCTTATCCTCTTTATGAGTAGATGCTCGCCCATGTCTCAGCAGTGGGCGCCGGTCGAAGGTGGTCACTGCCGCGATATCACTGTCGACCAGCTCGTCTCAGTGACCATCAACATCGTCGTCGACATCGCCATGACCGCACTGCCGATGCCGGCGCTCTGGGGTCTTCAGATGCCCCTTAGGAACAAGATCGCCGTCAGCGCCATGTTTGGCATGGGTTTTGCGTAAGTTGTCTCCTTCTCTTCTCTCTACATAGCCCTAGGCAGTAGCTAAGTTTTATATGCCAGAACTATCGCAATCATGATTTGGCGTCTAGTCAACACGGTCACCACCATCGGTGACCTCGACTTTGTCTACAACCTGCACGACATTGGCCTCGTCAGTCTCCTCGAGCTCTGGATCGGGATCATCATCGCATGTCTGCCGACCCTGGGTCCTCTCTTCAAGACCTATGTCAAGCCGGCCGTCTCCAAATTCGGCTCCAAGCTGACGAACCCGTCAACGGACAAGGGCGGCCAGATCAACCTCAAGGACTTGACGAGCAGCAGCGGCGGCCACAGCATCCGCCACCCCCGTCGAACGTATGACAAGCTTGGCGACAATACCTCCGTTGTGGACCTCGAGCGCGCCGAGCTGACGACAAAGTGTCAGTTCTCGCCAGGAGCCGAGGCCCCCAGAGGTAGCAGGCCCGTCATCTATGTTCATCAGGACATTGCGTCGCAGGAGACTTGGAAGCGAGGGGCGCAGGCTTGAGTTCGTAGACTAGGATCGGGGGTTAGGGAAGGAAACGGGGAGTTACGGCCGATGGATGAAATTTATTCGAGATATGAGATATGTACACTTCTTGACGTACCATTCTACTTTGTAACTATATATTGTTTCTTTGTGTCTTCACTTATCAAATTATTTTCTCATTAATCACCAAGCGAAACATTCGAACATTCGCATTACATCTTGAAGTCAAGCAGCTTCAACAGTGTCTCATACATAGTGTTTGCACCTGCAGACATCGTACACACTCTGGAGAGACTTCCGGGAGATTTTCCAATAAATCAGGGCTTTACAATTACTTGCAGCCAGACCTCCCTGGGTGTCCGTGTCGATCACTCCTTCTCGGAAAGCGGCACGCCTGACTCTTACTCGCCCAGCAACGCCCAGACAGCGTTCCTGACCAGAGACATGGGAATCCCAGGAACCCACGAGAAGGGTAGAGTTGGGAGTTGGGACGACAACAACATCGACCCAGCTCCACGGCGAGGGGAGGGGACAGCCTGTATCAGACTATCTGCCATACGCCGAGCCCCAGCCCGCCGGTAGTGGGCAGCCAAGTTCATCAAAGGACGAAGGACAAGACCAAGACCAAGACCAAGACCCTCTTCGTGTTCAGTGACTGGTTACTGGTTCCAGCAAGGAAGAAGCTTTTGGTTCTCACGCCTTTTAGAGTTACACGCGTGGGGACAAACTGGAGTCAGGTCGGATAAGGTAACGGGAACTCACAGACGAGGTTCGCGAGCCTTTTTTCTTCAGAGTTTACATCCGAGCACCTTGCGAGAACGACTGGACCCAAGTAAGGCCAGAACGTATCCACATAAAAGTGTACCTGCCTCTTTAATATAACGTTTAACTCTCATTCGCTGCGTGGTCAACACACCGTACACACGTGAGGTTTCGTGAGACCTGGAATATGGGTCGAGATGCAATCAATTTGCACTCTTTTCACTGTTTTCACTACGACATCAACGTAGCACCACCGCTTCCCGATCTCTTATGGATCACAAGAGTCTGGATCGAAACTCGTGTGTCACTAAATGTATCCATAGCTCAATATCCAGAGTTCGCGTACCGGTGGAGAGTGGAACTCAAGGGCATAACCAGGAATTGGCATCTGTTAGACTTTCACGATGCAGCTTCGTCTTCTTCCGGTTACCAGTTTTCTTGATCCCCAGTCCAGCGGGAATGCTACGACTCTTAAACGGAAACCGCTTCAGGGAACGTTTCCTTGAGGGATCCCTTGCTTTTCACCACGACTTCTGGTTCAAACTCTGGCCTCTGGTTGGTTTCGCGACCTCTTCCGCGACTTCGTCTGCGATCCGCGAGTGACTGTGTGATTCAATATCGCGCGAGGTATATCGCTTAGCCGGAGCCGGGTATGATCGTTCAGGGGTCACTACATATTGCATATGTATTGCCTGCCGTTCAAGTCACAGCCATGTAGTGTATCGTCTCTCCGCAAGATCCCTCCAAAGTCCCATCTTCAAGGCTTCCGAGACTATGGGGTCTTGAACATGCGTCCTTGACATGACCGGGGCCAGCTTCCAAGTACCGACTAACAATTTTGACATTCGTCGATAGAGGCAAATATCCAGACTGGAAGTTGGGGGCATCCGGCATGTGTTGCCAAAGGTGGATGAATCTGAATCATGAGAGCGGTGAATGGGTTTCGCCACGAGGCCTCTCTATCCCGAGGCCGACGATGTTGTTGATCATGTCGACGCTCGGCGGGCCTTTATCAATGGGCCGTGATCG